AGGTGAGGAGCGCGCGCCCCGCGGGCCCCGGGCCCTGAAAGCAGTTCAGGCTCCGGATCCGCGGAACACGTGGTGGGAAGGATCAGCTGTGGATTATCCGGCTCAGAACTCAGTGCGTCCACCTGCTGCTGCCCCTCACACCTCGCACTTACTGTTCCCCCTTCTTTGGAAACAACTCCATTTTAAAGAAACTACAGGCAGTCCTCGAGTGATGTCGGACTCCATATACGTCCTTTCGTGGTTACGTCGCCATCTCCCATTTATTTATAAAAAAAATGTTCTGTCATGTCGACGTATGTACATATGTGCTTTATGTTTTTTATTATTTATTTACCACAAGTAAAGGTCAGGAATTGTTATCTTTTATTTTATTTATTTATTTATTTATTTATTTATTTACTGTTTCACTTCATTACTGCTGAGTATGTGCTCCATGTGAGTGACGTAGGTGGGTTCCGACTTACGGTGAAAATCGAGTTATGTCGCGCCTTAGGAAGGGATCGCCGATGTAACCCAAGGCCCTACTGTATTTAGATCTTAGGTGGCTATTGGTAGTTATTATTAGTTTTTTTAAAAATATATGTTTTTATTGATTTTAGAGAGAAAGCGAGAGGGAGAAAGAGACACCAATGATGGGAGAGAATCATTGATTGGCTGCCTCCTGCATGTCCCCCACTGGGGATGGAGCCTGCAACCCCAGCCATGTGCCCTTGACCAGAATTGAACCCGGACCCGGGACCCTTCAGTCCACAGGCCTATGCTCTCTCCACTGAGCCAAACCCGCTAGGGCTGGTATTTATTATTGATTTAAAACAGTAACTAACAATTAGGCAGTTACTGATGCCCGGGAGTTTTGCATGGAATGGCGTGCTTATAACTTTTACGACAGTCCTATGAGCTAGGACACAGCTAGCCACACTTAGCAGATGAGAACACCGGGGCACAGTGTGCCCAAAGTCATACTGCTGGTCAATGTCAGAGGCAGAATTTTATCTTTATAATTGCTTGGACCCAATCGATTTTTTTTAAAAAAACCGAAGTTGACAAAATAAATTGTATCAGTTTAACGCTTGAGTCAAATGCTCGAGTTCTAAACTGCCACGCTTTTCTCTGTTCTGGAATAACTCAGTAAGATCTGGAGTGTGCAGGGTGATGGATTTCGGTAAAGGTATACAATTACCACACCATAATTAAGACAGAGAGCAGGCCCCACATTCTAAAAGTTCTTTTTCTCCTTTGCCCTCCATCCCTTCCCTCCACCTCTGGCCCCAGGCAACCAGGCTCTGCTTTCTGTCACAGGGCTCCAGGCCCAGGATTTCACTCCAGCTGCTCAGCAAGCCCTTGTAAGGCTGGTTTTGCATCCTCATCATCACCCCCGTCTTATAGACAGTAAGGCTAACAGGCATAGCAAATACAAACACAGGACGCCCAGTCCATGTCAGATACACAGCACACACTTTTTTAGAATAAGTATGTCCCAAGCAATATTTGGGACATGCTTCACTGGGCATTTTATCTGGCAACCCTAAGCCTGACACTGAAAAGGTGATCTCTTGTAGCCACTTCTCACCTAGATTCTATTCTTCCTATTCTATAGAAGATGTGAAGTAGCTCAGGGGTTTTAATCTGATTCAATACAAAGCACTATAAAGAGGAAACAATATAGAAGCCCCATCCGCACGCAAGCGCCGTGCCTCTTGTGTGTGTGTGTGTGTGTGTGTGTGTGTGTGTGGTGAGTATTGGTTTCCTGGGAAGTTCTGCATCCCCATAGAATAGAAACTTTGTCTTAAGAATTAACTGACTTATTCATGTACTTAAGGACTGTTTACTGAGTTCTGTGGGCTGAAGGGTCCGGGGTTCGATTCCGGCCAAGGGCTTATGCCCAGGTTGTGGGCTCAATCCCCAGTAGGAGGCATGCAGGGGGCAGCCAATCAATGATTCTCTCTCATCATTGATGTTTCTATCTCTCTTCCCTCTCCCTTCCTCTCTGAAATCAGTAAAAATATATATTTTAAAGTACATATTATCTGAACATTGTCTTTTAAAAAATGTCCAAAAATACGTCATAATATAAGAACAGAAGAGGTATGGTTTCCTTTTGTCCTCTTGAAATAATTTTTTGAGAGAGTGGGCTAAACCCGTGGTCGGCAAACTACGGCTCTCGAGCCATATTCAGCTTTTTGGCCCCTTGAGTGTGGCTCTTCCTAAGCCTTAGGAGTACCCTAATTAAGTTAATAACAATGTACCTACCTATATAGTTTAAGTTTAAAAAAAATTTGGCTCTCTAAAGAAATTTCAATCGTTGTACTGTTGATATTTGGCTCTGTTGACTGAGTTTGCCGACCACTGGGCTAAACTATCATATCAGGTAATTCTTCCTCAGGATGCTGCTGGGTTTTATACCTAAACTGTGTGCTGTCTGATGCCAGTAGGAAAGGCTCTATTTCGATAGAGTTGAAGAACTTGTGAGTTGACTGTGACTTTTGGCAGACTTACCTACAAGCTGTATGTTTATCTCCCACTTCCAGCAGTACTAGAGAAGGGAGGGGAAGGATTCTTTGAGAAGTCAACTCAGGCTGTAAAACCTGCTGGGAGAGTTTTTGCTCGGTGATGGGTATTGGAACCTGAATTCTTGTTGACTTTCTCCCCAGATCTTGGCCTGAGGGTGGAGGCTCTGCAAGCTGCTCTCTTGGAGATGCTTAACCCAGGCAGCCCTGCTGTGATCCCAACCAATTTGGGAGCAGCTGCGACATTTATGAACATGTGCCAAGGAAGACAACGGCCTTTTAAAGATCACTTAGTCAGTTAATAAAAAATAATAATTGCATGCAAAGAAGACAGGGTTCTGCTTCTATTTAATGGAATTAGCAGAGATGGGGTGGTGGTGGTGGGGGGGGTGGTGTATAAATCCCAGGAAGTTTGAGTTGCCTTGTGGGGCAGGTGCCTTTGGGCAGTCTCTGGCATGGCAGGAAAATGTCCTGGAATGGAAAAGAAACAGAATTTTATGCTGCCAGATTTAGAAGAAAGTTTGCAAACTTAGATGGCTACAGGAGTGGGACTGGTAATTTAAACGAGAGGCACAGATCAGTTGAGAGGCCAGGGGGAGCGGGAACTGCCTAGTCTCTGAAGGGGATGGTTGCTTGAGAGAATGGGAGCCCAGTGATTCCAGACCTTCTGATTTTTCAAGAGAAGCCAGAATTCAGTTTGTTCAACATAAACTTTAATTTTGTAGACCAGTTGTGGGTTTACAGAAGAATTGCAAGGATAGTACAGAACTTCTAGATACCCGGTACCCGGTTTTTCCTCTTGTTTTCCGTTAGTATGGTGCGTTTTTACAGTTAATGAACCAGCGTTGCTATAATATTATTAACTGGAGTCTATAATTTATTCAGACTTCAGGGTTTACCTGGTGTCCTGTTTCTGTTCCACGACCCCATCCAGGACAGCACGTTACGTTTAGTTGTCACGTCTCCTCAGGCTTCTCTTACCTGTGACAGTTTCTTAGGTTTCATGGTTATGAATGACCCGGACTGTTCTGAGGCGTGCTGGGCAGGTATTTTGTAGACGGTCCCTCCGTTGGAATCTTATGTTTTCACACGCCTGGACTTCGATGATGTGTTTTTGGGAGGGAGACCACACAGGTCTAGGGCCCTTGTCATCACACCCTAGAAAGGGCAGCCACTATCATCAACGTGACCCATCCCTGTTGGCGTGAACTTTGATCTCCTGGCTGAGGTAGGGATTGGCAGGTTTGGCCACTATGAAGTGACTCTTTTATCTCCCCTCCCACAGTGTATTTTTGGAAGGAGGTCGCTGTGTGTGGCCCACACTTAGCGTTGGGAGTTATACTCCTTCTCCTTGTGGATGAGTGTCTACA